TAAGTTGTAACGTCAACTATCCTTATTGAAACCATTATTTTATTTACATTGGTGCAGAAACTCAATGACCGGCATTGAAATGGAGGTAAAAAACTAAAACCAAGAAACAAAAAGGTCGGGAGCAGTTAATCTGTTTTGTTGGATGAACCTGTAGTTCTCATTATCATCTGGGATCGGATTTCATATATTTTGGTTTTTTATTGTTAAATTAATTCAATAATGTTATTTAAATTGCCAATGACTAACTCAGTGGTTATTTTCTTCTATTGAAAGTAAAATACCTTGAATTCGAATCGCATAACATGCAGATGTGGTGAGATACCAAAAATAAAAAAAATGTTATTTAAATTATAATCTTTATTTTCTCTAGAAAAAGTGATAGTCTTGGTTAATTTAATTCAAAGACAAAAGTTTCTTTTAAATAAATCAATGAATAATTTTTTGGGTAATTTAACCAATATATAAATGATACCGTACCAATTAATAATGGGTTTATTGCTTAAAGTACAAATTTGGGACTCATTTGAAAATTGTTAAAAGTTTTATGTAAAAGAATTCTTTCGCAACTACATGCCATGTATGTAGCAGATTATAAGTGCGTTTAGGATTATTGTAAAGTGCTATAACTGTAGTTGTATTAGACTGTATTGCACTATAACTGTGATTAAAAGTTAATTTCATATTTAATTATTTATTTTTTAAAAATATTACTTATGAAATATGATAAATTTTATTAATTATTAATTAAAATTTTAAAAATATTATAAGATATATAATTATTAAAATATATAATATTTATTATTTTTAATAATTTATTTTTTTAATTTTGATAGTTAAAATTTATTATAATTTTTTTTATAAATTTATTAAAAAATAATCTTAAAAAAATTATTAAACAAATATTTCTAAAAATATTGTAGAACTACGTGAAAAAACTCCGAATCAGAATCCCGAACGAACCGTATGTGGCACATTGTAGGCAGCTGACTTCTGTTAGCTTAACTACGGAAGTTGCTGAGACGGTCAACTTACATGTTTTTTTCTTTTCATCAGCAAAATAAATATTATTTATTATTTGCACCGAGCCCTTCGACCAAGTGGTAATAGCCACTCATGGTGCATTTCTTCCTCCCAAGGTTGAGGTTCGAATCCAGCCCCTTGTAAAATCAGTTAAAAATATATATATATTATTTATTATTTAAAGGAGCAAAAGCGCTATTTCAAGTCATATATAAAGTGAAAGGGCATGACCAATACAAACAAACCCAGCAGCCAATAAAACCTAGAAGTGAACCCAAAAATCAGTAACCGTGATTAAATAAGTAAATATATAAAATATTATAAGTAAATTTATAAATAAAAACTAATTATTTAATAACATGACATAATTATAAAATTATAATATCATAAAATATTATAATTATATCATTTTTTATTTTAATACAAAATTGATAATTTGTAGATGAATTTGAAAGAAAAAGTTTTTTTCAAGACTAAATAAATTGTTGAGCTATTTAGGTGTCGGGAGGTTGAGAAGGGTTAGGATTATGATTTGCAGTAGAACTTACTGATTCCATTCTTCATTATTTGTAATCAAAATTTTGAGTTGTAAAAGAAACAACCATTTACTATTTTGCATGGAATAATATCAAGATTTAAACATGAGACTTTCAATCTCATATCAAAACAGATTCTTTGGCTATATCAAATTGGCATCTTATCTACACTTATAATGTGATCAATGCAAAGAAGAAAATATGGGAGAAAATCAACATAACTATCAACTGTCCATTTAGGAACTATATATGCCTTGGCAGATAACACAATGATTTAATATCAATCTTTCCATCACACTCCCCTCTTCAACTGCCAATCTGCTGCTTCGCTTGTTCCATAGATGAACCCCATAACTCTTTTCACTTGGCTGAAGCAGTGTATCTTCTACATCTCCAGATACAACCGGGCTTTTCTGCCTTTTAAAGAGTCCTCCTATGTTATCCCAATCAACAGGATAAAAGGCCATGGGTGGCAATATGGTGAAGTTGTAACCTGGTATTCCTTCAACTCTCTTGACCACCCTTGAAACAAGATAGGGTCCATTGTATCCCCATTTGTTTCCATTGAAATTTAATGCAAAGTCTTCAATGAACTTGAACAGAAGTGGATGGTTCATGTCAAAGACAAGAACTGCATTGTTCAATGTTTTCCAATTCTCGGACATCATGTCCATACTCTGCGCTCCAATTGAGTTTTTCAGCCCCTTGAAACTTTTCAGGACAATGAAATCTGTATCTATGTAAATCCCTCCATACTTGTACAGAACCGCAAGCCTGATCAGGTTGGATAGATTCTGGGCTAATGGAATCTTGCCTGGGTCTTTCTTTCCCTTCTTCATCTCATCAAACCAAGCTTCCACCGGCGTGTTCTTGAACAGGAACGATAGGTCTGGTGCCACAGTCAGAACTTTGAATCCACCGTCAAGCAGAGGTTTCAGCTTCCTGTACCCAATTTCTGTGTCCATGGTCCTTGACAGAATCACCAAGCATCCATCAGGGTGTGCTTTGAAAACGCTCTCCACGGCTGACATTTCTTTCCTCTGGAAAGACTTCGCCGGAGCAATCCATGTCATAAAGAACTGAACTTCGCATTTCTGGTTTAAGAATTCTAGAACACGGCCGTGGAATCTCTCCGTCAGGTTGTCCGAGCGGAAAATCTCAAACTCCGGTAATTTTGACTTGAACCATTCAATTCTCTCTACTCGACTGACATTGACCGGAGGAATCAGGGAACTCTGGTTCACGTTGTCAACCTCTTCTTGCGTAGACTGCAGGGGGAAAACAGGGAGAACCGACTTCATTTTCCATTCAATTTTCTGTCTCCGAAACCCCTCAGATTCTTCTTCCATATTTAAGGCTGCGGTTTTCAGAAAAAAGTTAGACATGATTGTGTACGAGAAGATGAAGAAGATCATCAGAACAGAGATTACGATAGTCGGGACTACCGGCCAACCAGCCGTAAATCGGCAGTATCGTGGGATACCCTTCTCAATCCCATGATGATACGAAGTTTTGAAGCTCCGCAAATCCATTAATGGAAGTAAAACCAAAGAGAATAATACAAGATAATAAGACCTTGTAGATCAACTTTATATATTAATATCGATGGTGAGGGATTTAGGAAGAAGAGGCTACCTCTTTTATATGATTCATTTAGATAAACCCAGAAAAAACTTTTTATACTAATTTAAAATTCTCCTCTAAGTAATCTTATCAAATTCTTAGGATTGTGGAATTAGAAAAAAATAAATTATGTAGTTATCTTTAACATTATATGTATTTATCTTTTAAGCTTGGCTAGAGTCTTATCTTAAACATTTTACAAATAAATTTTTTAGATTAAGTGAGGAAGAGTTTGGGAAGAATAAAATTATATAATATTTTATTTTATAAGTAATTTATTATTAATATACTAAAAAACTGCATAACTAAAAGTGAGTTAAACTTAAAATTGATATTAGAATTTTATATTTTTAAAGATTTACTACAAAAAATTTATTATAAATTCTCTACTCTAATATAATTTTGATGGTAGTCAACGACTAGTAATCTCTTTCTAGTAGAAGTAAGAAGTCATGAATTTAAATTGCATAACATGCGAATAAAATATGATAAGAAATATGAGAAAGTTGTTTTTCATTGTATAATCAACATAAAATAATAATAATAAAAATAATAAAATATAAAAAAAATTGATGGTATGTTTTTAATCGGACTCTAATTTTAAATTGGTAAAGTTGCACAAACTTGTCAATTATACCTAGGAACATAACACTGTTTATTTATTATTCACAAAAGTTAGTTATAGGTTGAAAGTAAGACTTGGAACATTCCTAATTAGTGTTTTGAAGTCATAATTCAGTTAAGGCTTGAAAATAGTAATTAGATTGAAAGATAAGTCAGTCTGCAATCTCCGGGCGGTGGCGTAATTTAATTTTGGCAGCGAGCGGCGGTGCTTCATGCACTTTTCTTTTTCTAAACCAGAACAGTGACTTTATTAAAGAAAAAGATTAAGCTTCATAAATTCGGTAATGGTAAATTACTAGAGAAAACTTGTACCCAATGTAGTGGCGGAGGAACCGAGTCTTTAAGTTTAATGGTTCAATCCTAAGTTTTAAGTGCTTCGGTGAAGTGGTCGGAGTTTCGAACTCTACTACCGTCGTGAACTTCATCAAAAGCGGCCTGATGGCCGCGTACCTCATTTGAGGGGTGGAATGTTCACTCGATCTGGGGATCGAATCTCCCGTTGCTAACAACTAATTCATATCAATTTTCTAACCATTACTCTTGTCAAAAAAAAAAATTTGTAGTAGCCGAGAAAAAGTTTTTTAAGTGAAAAAAAAAAAAAAGAACAACCTTGTTCCCAATGAAAGTAAGCCAATGATAATATGTTGGTTTAGGGTACCTAAAAAAATGATTTATTCTCTAATATTAAATCATCGTACTTTTTTTTTTGTTTTTTTTTCTTGAACAAAGGGGAATGTGGGCATAGGAAAAATAAAAGGATAAAAAAGGTAAAGAAAAAGATTAAGAAAATTCCATTCATTTTAAGTAAAGTACTCTTAGTATTTAATTATTCTCTAAATAAAGAAAAATCATACGAGATTTATATCATCAGCTTTTGAGGTGTCTTGTCTCACTTCTAAACGTTGAGAGAATTAATAGTAAAATAAATTTTACAAGGGAATAGAATGAAATTAGGGGTGGGCATTCCGATTGGTAACTGAAAGATTATTTGGAAATCGAATTGAGAAAATGAATTCGGTTTGGTTTTAATGATTTTTAAGTTTTATTGTTTTGGTTTTGATATTAACCAAATAAATTTTGATTTGATTTTGATTAAATCTTTCATAAATCGACAACCGAAAATGAGTTTCTTGAAAACTAAAATTTGGATAAATATGACAAAATATAATAAAATATGAGATAAAATATAATTTATTATTGAAAAAAAAATTGATTAATATTTATTTAGTAAAAACCAAAACTGATCGATTTTATTAGTAACCAAACCAATTGGTTTGTAAAAACTTCAATTCGGTTTCAGTTCTCAAAATTAAAGAAAAAATTTTTTGGTTATTTTAAAATCAGTTTCAATTTCAACTGAAACTGGTTTTTGCCCACCCCTAAATAAAATTATCACATTATCAAATCATAAGAAATGAAATTTAAATATAAATTGAAATTGAGGTCACTTTGTCTTTAAGAAGGATAGATATAAAATAATGAAAAATAATTAAGAGATATTTTTTATATAATTTTTTATACAACTTTATATATTATTTAATGATTAATTCTTTTCACTGTATTAAAACTTATAATATTGGACGTATATATTTATTTAAATATATATATAAATTGTAACAAAAATTATAAAAAAATTATCTATTTATCATTACCCTTAAATAATTTTTAGTGAAGTGTAAGAATATTCCATCTATCTAAAATGAATAGAATCTTTTTTTTTTTTTTCTTCCCCTTTATGTTTCCTCATTCCCACATTTCCCTTTATTATTATTATTATTTTTTGAATAAATTGTCAAGGGATGGGTTCGAAGCCCATTCATAGGGGAGGAGAAATGTACTTCAAGCTGATAGGTTACCAATTGACCCGAAGGGTGAGGTACTTATATTTTCCTTTATTGAAAAGGAAAAGAAAAGAAATTGAAATCTAGATCTCTTTGAACATGGGTTTTTCTTTCTTTTTGATCATGGGAATTGGGTGGAACATAGGCGGAATATTTCAATGTCTTTACATTTCCCTTTATTAATTGAAATGTAATGCAATTTTCTTTACGCATGTCAAAACGCCAAGATAGAAAAGCTGCAACAAAACCAGGCCTGAAGAGAAACAAAATGGAAAAACAAACTGGGTCCCTAAATTGGGCCTACGTTAAGATGCGGATAATTCTAGCTGGGCTGAGCATCGCGTACGGTGTATTTGATATCTGTAGGTGTGGGTATTTTGTTTGTTTGGGTAAGTATTTTATTTGTATTTGTGAAAAGATAATTAAATATTAGGTATAAAAAATATATATTTGGTAAGTATGAATTAAGTATTGGGCATGAAGGTTAATACTTATAAACTTAACTTATATACATGACTCATATATTTAACATATATATTTAATGATCTATATACTTGACTTATATACTTGTGTATGCAGCAGTCCTCGCTGGGAGACTCATCCACCATTTCCAGGTGCGTGACGCGGGTTGGGTCCGGATTAGTCGAGGCGAAGCCTCGGATACCGGGTGAAAAACCAAAAAAAAATACTTGATTCATATATCTAATTATATATTTATAATATTATATATATCATTAATATATAAAATTATAGCTACCACAAAACATAATAAATAAACAAATCTTTTACACAAAAAAAAATTTAAAAAGTGCGTCCCTCTTTTAGTGGCTCCTAAAATGTTTTTTTTTTTTCTTCTAATAGTGAAGATTCAACTTAAGGAAAATTATCATAATTTTTGTTTGTAATTTTTTTATTATTGTATATATAAACTTGTATATGTGTGAGTATATATATTTATGTATTTTGTTTTATATATAAACTTGTATGATATGTATATACTTATAGTTGTATATTAACTTAAGTATTTCTAATGTAAAATTTAACAAATATATAAATATACATGTGGATATACCTGTACTCAACAAGTTGAGTAATGGATATAAATTTTCAATACCCATATAAATACTGAATATTGAAATCTTGTATATGATATTATTCTAGTCAAGTATAAATATGAGCAAATACCTAACCCTTACCTAATGCTCACCCCTAATTCTAGCCATCCGATCTTTCTAGGCTCAACCAATCATGAAGATTAAAATATTTTATTTTTAAAATATAAATTAAAATATTATTTATTTATTTATAATATTTTATTAAAATATTTTTTTAAATTTATAAAAAATAAAGTAAATAAATATTAATCTCATAATTTAACGTATTAAATAAAAATATTATGTTACGCACCTGGTTCTTCAGACCAACTGACAACCTATCAGCTTGAGATGCACTCCCCTTAACAACTTGTTCAAAAAAAAAAATATGTTACACTTTTTATTTAATTTAAATTATTAAATAAAAATACTCATAATATTACACTAATCAAATCTTATAAAAAAAAAACCCTTTCAACATCTAATTTTTTATTCATAATATTCAATTTTGATATTTTTAAATAGAGTAATGATGCAGCAGATAAAAACGTGAGACGAAAATAGGTAACAACAAGTGATGCAAGATTTATGTATGTAGTATAATTACCAATTTGACCCTCTTATATCATCTATCATCCCTCATTTTTGTCTCGCATTTTCATCCGTTACATCATTATTCTTTTAAATAAGTTTACCTTTGGGGACGAGGGTGAGGGTGAGGGGATTCAAAATCTGACTTTTAAGTGAGGAAATGTACCTTTTAATTTGACTTATAATTATTGAGTTGCGAGAGGCAGGTGCTTCAATTTTGATATTTTATTTAAGGGAAAATGAGTGATTTTATTCTAAACAATAAATTGTATGTGAAAATAATGTTGTTATGTTACTCAGATCAGTTTATCCAACGGCTGAAATTACCCGATGAACTCTCCAACTTTTACCCCGTCACTCAGGTTCCAAAAAGGCAGATTCAACCCAGCACAGACGATCCGTGTCAGCAGGCCACGTGGCACCAGATCCGTTCCTTTTATCCCGATGTGGACCCACACCCGTATAAAAACTCTTCTCCTCGCATCCTTCTGTGGTCCCTCCCCAAAACCAAATGCAAACAAAATCGTCTCTGCATTCACCCCCTGCGGGCTGAGGACACTCTACACTCACTCACTGAGTCACTCATGAAGACGCTCGCCACTTCTTGCTCCAAAACCTTCGTCGACAAGTATGGTGGCGGTGGAGGGTTTCATGATGTTTCCTTCAGTAGACCTGAAGTTTGCTTCTTGCCGACGAAAATGGTCGCCAATCCCCGATTCCTGCAGCTGGTCTCTGTGCAGCGCAAGGCGATTCAGCCAGTTCGTCCGTCTGCTTCTCTTGTTCCGGACTCGGAGGCATGTACCCTTTATCTTTTTCGCTGTTTTTATACTTTCTTATGTGTGGGATTTTGTACTTTCTTATGTTGAACCTCGGCATTTGCTCTTCTCTTGGTGATGGGGGAAGAGTGAAAGAGGATGGAAGTTTCCGAGTCTTGAGGATGATTTGTGCTGTTGGTTTCTTTTAATTTCCTGTGGTGTCTTGGTATCCCAACAAAGCAAGCTAGTGTAGTAGTGATTAGCTTTTGATGATTTAGGGAATGTTGTGTGCTGTCTGCATCTAAAAGAATTCATATGGAATCCACTCACTATGGCTTTTATAACGCGGGTCAGTTCTTGGAAAAGATAAGAAAATGAAGAAATTGTTAGCCACTTTACAATTTTAGCTTTCTGTAAAAAGACAAGATTCGACACATTTTTTTTTTTTTTCATTTTGATTTACATTTTTCTAAATTAACAGTGAAGATATTATCAGTCAGGAAATGATTGTAGTATATTTTGTTATGAATTTCTACATCCAGGACCAGGTCCAGGTGAGCATGGAGACAGCAGGAACTCAATCTCAAGAAGGTTGGAACTTGTTACTGCCCTTTATTTATTGGTATGTTATTGGGAAATTTGAATCCATTTCAACACCTCTGATGCACAGATCTTTCCAAGAAAGTTCATGTCAAATTCCAGTTACAGAAAGAGTGCTCATTTGGGGAGCATTTCCTCCTAGTAGGGGATGATCCCATGATTGGCCTATGGGACCCTGAGAGTGCTATACCAATGAATTGGTCAGAAGAGCATGTCTGGACTGTTGAGCTGGTAAGCAGAAACTTGTTCAAGAATTATAACGAGTAGTCATTATCTTGGAGGCTAAATTGATCCTAAGAGTGGCTTTGTGTTTGACCAGGATATACCGGTTGGAAAATCAATTAATTTCAAATTCATTCTGAAAAGCAGCATGGGAGAGATTATGTGGCAACCTGGCCGAGATAGGAATTTGACAACCTGGCAATCTGAAAGTACTATCATTGTCTGTGAAGACTGGGAAAATGCTCAATATCAGAAAATAATGGAGGAAAAACCATTGACTAACCAAGATGAGGAGCATACCCTTCATTTTGGGATAGCAACAGTCACAGAGAACTTGACAACTCTGAGGAAAGCTATCATGTCTCACAAAGACCGTGGATTAGAAGTTGTTGGTGATAATACCTATACAGCAAAGGAGTCACTACAACCAGCATACAAGGAAGTAGCTAGGGGTAATGGTGTCCCTTCGCTAGAGAGGCATATAACAACTACAACTGTTGCAAACAATATCGGTTACCCTGAAGAAGATTTCATGGCCAATGGGAACATTAAAGTGCTCAGTGACAAGGATGAACACAACACTGTCATAGTGGCTGAGGAAATTGTAGGAGATAATGGCTTAGCTGTAACATTCAAGAACCCCACACCAGCAGATATGGAGGGAAATCTGATTACCCATGAGGGAGATGCTGTTCTGGTACCTGGATTGACTTTAACTCCATCAACATTGTCATCTGAAGAAGAAATTCAAAATGAAGTTGGGAAGAATATTATGACAGATGCTTCGGTCAGCATTGATGGAGCTAAAATTTGCAGTTTGCCAGAGGTAATTGCTTGATGAGTGTGATGCATTGTTTTATCCCTTTTTTTTTTTTCCCTCTCCTTTCTCCCTGTTTTCTAGTGCTGCTAATAGCAAGAAATAAAGTTCATAGCCATTAACCATTGCCTTCTCTATTGTTAAGAAATATCATACTTCTAGAAACAATCTGGTCACGACTTGTATCTTCCTGAAATGTTTGCTAAAGAGAAGCTCTTTCTAAGATGGAACATATCAGCCAGAGAGCTCTTTCTGTTCATAAATATTGAAGTATTGAATATCACTGATCATTAAATGGAATAATAAGATATGTAATGAGTTTATGTCTCTCCTTTCAACAGTCAGCAATCAATAACATGCACCATCTTTACTCTGCTTGTATTATTGCATTGAGAAATTGTCTCTATGAGTATACATCTGAACTTTGTTGCCGAATGGTCAAATGGAAACTGAAATTTATTACCTTGAAACGCATAACTTTTTATGATCCATTGGGCACACCGATATATACTCCATTTGCACTGATTCAAATATTTGGCACCAAAAAGTAGGATAATCAAGAACCTGTGTGTTCACTTTGTGGACATGGAACTGAATAATCAATTACTTGACCATTTGACAATCTGTGATATTGTGATATAATGCTAGTGTGCCTCTATTCTAGATGGTTTGGTTGAGACAATTTATGACCCTTAGCATTATCTAAATTGAGTTGTGTTGAAGATTCTATTCTTATTGTGTTTTCCCTTTTTTTTAATATTCTTGTAACTCAAATTTAAATAATATTCAGTTTGATGTGAAGCAAGAACTTGATGTTGTTGCACACCAAGCAGTTACAAATGAGACGTCCATGGACGAGGAGCAGATTAACAACAAAATTACTCATGAACCTCTTGAGGGAAGAGAAGAACAGCCTGACTCAGAGCCTCTACAAAGTAATGTCTTGGAAAATGACATCAATTGGGGTCGCAAAATGCTAGGGAAGCTTCTAAAACAATGGCGATTTCATTAGCTAGTGAAAAATGGTAAGGGATATAGTTACATTCATTCAAGAGCTACAACAAAGCCTATGCGTTGCCCTTAGGTTCTTATGGTTTGGCTGGCAAAAGAGAAAATGAGAATTAAAGATTTCTTGTGCTGTTCTGTGTACATACACATTCCATTGCTTTATGTCTCTATAATGGGAGCATTACTGAATTTTGTATGTAACTGCTCTAGCATGTAATAATGGGTTCATACTGAAAGGGTTCTTCTCCTCATTTTCTGACAGACATAATCGGAACTTTTCTGATATTGTGTATGTATATTTTGGTTGACGCTTGGAAGGTTCTTATCAGCAATCCTGTCGCTGACTTATTCAGATATGTTGGCATTCACAAAATATAGGTACCATCATAATGAGTTCTAATTCATTACCTCATTTCTGCCTTTGTTAGCCAACGGAATGCCTGATAGTTGGTGAATGCTTACCAATTTGTTTTGTACGAAGAACTGAGATAGCTCTCATGTCTGCCATCACTATTTTTCATACATCATTTATGATTATTTTGTTGCCGTGTACGTCTATGAGAGGCTATACAACCCTTTCCTAAATCCTTTCTATTTAAATTTGAGATATCGAATCTCAAACTTTTACTAGTTGAGACACCTGAACATCATCATTAAATGTTTTTATGCTCGTTTAGAGTTTTATTTACATATCAGATAAATGACAAATAACGGATATATTGTCAGGTTCCGGAAGATGCTTTCTGAGATGCGCAATGGGTTCTCAGATCCACAATCAATCTCAATTTCCATAACAAACTTTTTCCCTTTTAACATCATAGGTGGAAGTAATTTGGAGCCGTTTTCTTATAATGGTAACCTATGACATTAACACCAATTATTACAAACGTGCAGCTTACGTTGTTTGTCTTTCTGAAACAAAATGTTGGAAACCTGAGCAAATAACAGTTGAAGAGCAATTATTAGATGCATTGCCGTTAGCCATAAACTCACAATTATTAGATGCATTGCCATTAGCCAGTCACTTTCTAAGCAAACAACAGTTGAAGAGCAAAGACTGACAAGTCGCCAGTTCCTTGCTAACATTACAAATAATGCCACGAATTATAGAGAATGGTAACCCATACTCTTCATGATTACTGAAATTTTTATAAATATAAAATAAACTTCTAATTTAATTCCATTGAATTTTAAACAACCAAAAATGTATTATTTAAACTTAACTTTATAATTTATATTATTAAATAAAACTAAATCCATTAAAGATTGAACTATCTCTCACCCAATAATTTTAATTTTTTAATCTGATATAATTTAAATTACAAGATCAAAAACTCTTTGAACAATTGTTATATTATAAATTTCTTTAAAACGATTTCTTATTAAAGCCGAAGAGATAACTTTATTTTATGCCCAAAAATATAAAAATAAAAAATAAAAAAACACGAAGAAGAAGAAAGGGTGGTTTTGTTGCATCTAAAGAAAATTGGTTCATTACGCATGCTTATGGCGTATATATGCATGCGTTGTATTCAAATGCTGGCATACAGAATCATCAATGGATCAGCAGAGGGCTGTAAAATCATACAAAGAACGATATCTATAAGCTAGAAATGCTGCTGTAGCAAGCTCCGCCTGGACATCCACTAAATTGATGGACAGGAAACCAGGCAACATGAAGAAAAATGAATGCCTGTATTTCCGTAGGAGAAACAAAACTGAAAAGTGCTATTGGCCTTGCATTAAGAGAAAAAAAATTGAAGAGTCGCCATTCGCCCTGCATTCTCCAACTCAAGCGGTACTAGGAGTCATGAGCAGCTGCCTGCATAAGATGCTTAACTTGAGGCTCTCAAGAACCTCCCCCAAGGACACTTCCAATTCGAACTGCTTTTTCATGAAACAACGGAATGCCCACTTTTCTGTAGCCTCAAAAGATGATAAACTGCGTGATCCATGATGAGGTTCTTCCAACCAAAGGCTGATGCAGGGATGAAAATTTACCTCGGTGAATTAACACCGTTTTGTGCTTGCTGGTTTACCCGAGCAGATGAAGTGCTCCCACGTTCTATATCGGCAGGCTGAAAATCATTGGTCAATTAGAATAAGAGATGACAATATGCCATGGAAGTTGCTAAAATAAAACCAATGCAATGCAATCACTCTCAAATTATTCAGAAAAAGATGAGGAATCCAGGAGCAAGTGCAAAAACAAAAATCAGTTTATTTTCCTTGAGAAACTGATTGAGGATTTTTTCCCCTCAATTCATTCAAATCAACTGACCTGTACCTTTTTTATGCTAACAATAGTTTTAACTTGATGGAATAAGTAACTCAATGGACTACACGGGTGTACTTGGATAATGGGCAGAAACTAGGGACTGACCCCAAGTCCATACCTCTTAAATAGGAGTAAATGGAACCCTGTTAAGGCAGCAGTAGCAGACATGAAGCCAACTCACTCCTTTCATTGTTTTAGCTCCTAACATCTCGGTGCCAAAGCAAAATCCAAAGAGGAGTGGTTTTCCCCAGATAACCACAAGCCCTCATCTGGAAATTCTTGCACACATACCCCTTATCCAAGCATCACCAATGATTTTGCTTTTTGGAAAAGAAATCAAATCAACTAGTGAGAGCATCATGAGAAATCCCCACCTCTGCAGTTTTTTCTTTTGGCAAACCATCTTCTCTTAGTGCTTCATTTGATCCAGGTCTAGAATTTTCGAGATCCCACAGAAATCCATTTTCATTTTCACGGGAAACTGTATCAAAGTCTTTGTCCACAGCTTGAGAAAGAGGCGTGATGTATGCCACATATTTTTCTGAAATACCATATGCAAAATACATAGCGGATAAGTGCCTTTGCATGACATCATAGGTGTCAAAAAATCACAATCGACTAGAAGAGAACACATTTACCATTAACTTTCACATATTAGACAATGCAATTTATATTAATTTTACTCTGTTAATCACCTTTTCTTATTTGAATACTCCACATTAAAATGATATAGAGGCACATTAATGATAAACAAAAACCACCATCCTCTTCCGGCAAGGATTTAACATGAATTCCCTAAAATACCCAAAGCACCTTACTCTTGCTGTTTCACATTCATGATAATATCATTTGTTAGTGACTAATTATTATGCTTCTATTGGATTTGGAATAAAAATAAGGTTCTCTAAGGCAAGGGAAAGTGAATGAACCAGAGAACAAGCATACCTGCTAAGCTATGAAGAGCATGCTCAGCAGCTTGTTGTTGAGCATCCTTTCTTGTCTTCCCCATTCCAACACCTATTTTCTCAAAATTGAACAAAACCTGAAACAATAAAGGCAAAGGGATAAGCTTTAAAACCAATAGACCCTTAAAGTGGCTCTTGAAACTATAGATTCAATACTTTCCACAATTAAATACTTAACAGAAAGTGGTACCATTATGAGAGATAATAAAATAAGCATGCACAACTAACCCCCATTGGGAAAGCAAGCAAAAATTATTCCAGTAACATTATGCTGATCGCTCAAAGTCCTCCTAGAAACAACAGTGCATTTTCACAATTCATGTGAAAACTATAAATGGGTGGGGATAACTAATACCATCCAGTAATATATGAGAACTATATGAGAGAGCAGCAAGAAAAATAGTTTCCACTGACCTCAACAGAAAAATGCAAATCCTTACTGGTATTTGTAACAGATCTGAACTCAACCTGTACAGAAGGAGAAACTGAGAATCCCCAAAAGGAACATAGGCAGCCATGTTCAAGAGAGCAAATTGATCCCCAAACCAATATCTACCTTTGAACCACATCTTCGTCCAATTTCTTGAAGAACACCAATGGATAAATGAGAAGGAAGAGTATTTAATTTTCCACCTTCAGCTTGAAATTCTCGGTTATTGGAAGAGACATGATTGTGAGATCTCCCAACCTCTGCAGAAGAAAACAATTAGTAATAAACAATGCTATGTAATGGTCATATGAGATAATGGTAGTAATATAGTGTTTGTCCATTATGAATTGATACAGTAGTTCAAATAGGGCAAATCAAATGGAGGCCTGAATCATAGTCCACTTTGGATGTTCGGCCTGCTTCTTGGGTTGTTTGCACATCACTTTGTGCTTCTTCTGGGTTTTTCTTTGGTTGTTTGGATCTTTTCTTTTCAGCTGCTTTAGACAAATTTATCATATTATAGACACATTAACTCATCCAATTCATTAGTTCACCAGCAAGAATAAGTTCTAGGTTTCAGTTATTGCACTTCCAAACATCTGATCATGTGGAATTTTAACTACTTTAGTAAGTAATAGACATACCTGACACCTGAAATGCATGTGGTAGATTTTGCTTTTGTCTATCATGTTCAATGTGCATCTGCAACAAGAGAAAATTGAACAAAATAGTCATTTTTAAATGATCACAAGTCTGCCAGTGGTAGCTTAAAATAATTCCAAACAAACCTCTTCAGCTTTCACTTGTGTTGCATGTGGGGGGGGAATGGTGGAAGAAGTTGATGAAGTTGAAGAAAGTGGATTCTGAACAGGTTGCAGTTTGTCAGATTTGGCAGAGTCAGGTTCTTGTGCCGAACCTGGTGATCGATTGGTTATATGCACTCTTTTGATGTCTTCTTCCACGAGCCAACCTCCCTGTGGCTGCATTTGCATTGAGGAAAATTGTGCAGGTACTCTAGATAGAACTGGGGGTTGACCTGAACTTTGACTTCTTGAATCTAAACCAGGCTTCATGTTCGAAACTCTTCTCTTCATCTCATAATCACTATCACTAGAGCTGCTATCTCGTCTAACAGGAGGTCCAACCAAAACAGGTTCTATGACAATTCAAAACAAAAATTAGAATAAAAGTAAAAGAAACATGCTCCCCTTAAAGGAAAATAGAAATTGGTACTAAACTGAAGTTCATACTCTGAGAGGGCAATACTGCCATTGTGGATGCTAGCAACTGAGAGGAGTCAGATCCCAACTCAGGGCTACTGATTGCTACATGAGTAGACGAAGAATCAGAAATATGCTTCTCATCCTAGAAAGGAAAAGAGAAAAAAATGAAATGAGTACAACACCAAATGAAAATAAATAAATAAATAACAAGAACCACTTATACTACTTGCAGTTGCAGAATGCAGATAACCATGAGCAAAGGAAAATCCCATAAGCAGCACCATACACAGAAAAGCCTCATATGTATACTTTGGTACTTGTTAATATGAAACACAAATGTTCTACAAAACAGCCATACAATCCTTAGCAAAATACAAACATGATCCCAACAATTTTAAGGCATGCTACATGAATTCATCTTCTTTCACAATATAACCACCCTAAACATACCAATTGGTTCAGTCTCCTTTCCACTTCAGCCCCATTCATGCCTTCACTGATAGGAGCATTTGAATTTCCATTTGGTGCAAACCCAACATCCTGCAATTTTGTAACACGTAAATCCTAGAATACAACAAGAAACCAAACTTTGAATCAAATGACTGGTCTTCATAATTTTGACATAAGTACCTCATTCATTAAGTAATTGCTCACATCAGGAGCAGATGGCAAGATTCCCACTTCATCTTCATAAAAAACTTCAGAAATTCTTCGCAATAAATTCTCGTCAAACTCTCTGGGTAATGAATGGCATCAGAAATAAGAAAGAAGTCTTAAGAAAAATGCAAGAATACAAACTAATATTGAATGACTTGAGTGAATAAAGAAATTAACAGATCTTACTTGAAGAAACTACCCCTGACATTGCATGCAACATTTCTTGCCACACAAAGGACTGGAACAGCATTTGCTGTCTGATAATGGGGAGAAAATTGGAAAAAGATGTTACATAGAAAAAAATAAAAGAATAAAAAACCCATCAAGAAGGACAGTGCCCTATACCTCTGCCTGAGGAGCAAAATAAGGAGAGAATGGGGGAACCACATGAACTTGGGGTTGATCCTTATCCTCCCAGACCTTTAAGCGGTCATCAATTACCATTGCCATCTTTGGATGGCATATGCCATCTCGGAAGACATTTAGCAAAGATTTCCTAGAACCTGCCAAATTCAAATCGATAGGACGTCAAAAAATGGATTGCCTAAAACTATATGTTTACATCACAGTAAAAGGAACTATGTTAATTCCTAGATGAATAAATGCTTTAAAATTACAATAGCTACTTACCTGATTTCACACAAACAACTCGGTCAAGCAGTTGCTTCAAACCGATCAGGTGTGCCTCTGGATCAAGAAGCCTCCACATTTCTAAGGCATAATCCCTTTCAGCCATGGTACAAACATAAACTTCAAATCGTTTCCGTCCTCTTGCAGTTAAGTAACTCCTCAAATCTTCCCATGCAGGTCTTAACCTCACAAGCACACTGGTATCACGAATCTGTATAGAGAAAACCGTTGATAAATAAATAATGTAATGACTAATGAGTATGGCTTCTAGTTTGAAATGGTGCCAAAAGCTATTCAATAAGCTGAAATTACATCAGATTTAAGTACTTATCACAGATTTTATATAAGGGTAATAGATTCCACCTAATACTATTTTAAAAAATTGGATAAACTTGGTGGATGGATAAAAATTTCAGAAGTTACAGCATAATCCCCGCCCCAGAGTTAAAAAAAAAAAAGAAAAAAAAGAAAAAAAAAAAGGACCAAAAAGGCGATACGGGGTGCTTCACCATCCTACTCCTCCAGAACTTGCTTAGCAGGTTCTGAGAACAATGGTTAACTTTAGTTGGCTTAAAAATACTATTGACATAAAGGACTTCAGGATGCAGAGCACTTGATAAAAACAAGTAAATTGTTATTATCTTAGTTCTATCTTCAGAAGTAACATTCTACTTGCACATTACGAAGGATTTTGAACATATAACGTATATGCAACACCTTTAAGTTTTATAGGTTACTGATTATTTTATTATTTTTAACAATCAACTCTACTCATCATCTAGTTTTGCCAGTATGAACCAGCCGTCAGTATCTTATCCATCTCCCCTACTATCTTGCAAACCCACATGGAGCTAGCATCCTGCAAAACCAGGACACATGTTCGACACCTCATGACTCAAAACCAAAATCTCTTCCGAGAACAATAGGAAATTGTTTTTAACTAAGTTATGTCCTAGCATCAGCCCAACCAAGCAATTCAAGCCACTAAATTAAATTGCAATTCAATTAATCAACCATTCTCCATTGATCAGCCCAACAACTGGAGCAGTCAACAAAGTCAAATATACGAAACAAAAACCCACAGATATGCAAATAACTTTCAACCAAGGAATTTTGCCATTAGGATCTCTAACCTCAGGATTGATTCGAGTGAGAACAATATTCCTCTCCGGCAACCTAATCACAGGTCGAATAACTCTGTCATGGCCATCAGACAGCGGAGGAACCTCTTCCATTTGAATCTTGTACGCTTTTCCATTATCCAAAACAGAATCATTCTCTGTATACTGCTTCAATAGCAGTCGATCCTCTGAATACCTTTTCAATTCCGCTGACATCCCAGAAATCCGCATTGCATCAGTTTCACGGGCCATCCAAACTTTAAGAAATTCAATCCTATCCTCAAACGACTTCATAGTGTTTGCCACAATAAGAGTCTCATCAAGATCAAATACAATTGAAAGACAACGCGTATTCAGCATCCTTGAACAGCAATCATACAGACCTATCGGAACCGAATAGCACCAAAAGCACGGAAATTTCTTCTGCTTACTCGGCATTGCCACCAAGTGAATCTCCTCCTCTCCAACCAGCACCACTGCCGTCTGTATAAACTCATCAAACTAAGCAACTAAAATACTTCCATAAAAAAATGAACAAATTCCAATTACATTGCCTGCATTTGAACAAAAGTTCCAAACAAAATAAACAAAATAAAAACTCAATCGATTGACGTTAAGACCTTGACTTCGTGGAAACAAGAGGCGTGGAGGAGAATCAAATTTGGCTGCTCCACCAGAGAGGAGGATTCAAGCTTGCAACGAACCGAAAACGAGGAAATCGTCTGGAGAATGGAGAGAGGATAGCATCGTTCGCTCTGTGTCGATAGGTGGTGGATTCGAATCTCGTTATTCGGAAACTGAAAGTTCTCTTCCGAGACCGGGACAGTGTCCAGCTCTCCCAGACACAGGTCGCCGTGATACACGACGGATTTAAACCCTAACCGGCTCATTCCCGGCGCTCCGATTCGATGTCAGAGAGATTAGAGAAGAAATTTGAGTAGAAAAGAGAGGAAACATGCAAATGTCTGAAGTAAACGGGGAGTCCTTGAGCAATTTCTGCGAATTTCTCACTTCTCCCCTCTCACACTCCCTCTCCTCTCTCCGAGTTCGGTTTTAAAACAATGGAGT